TTTGGTATATATAACCCTATATCTGACTCTTTTAGTTTTAGGAATTAGAAACAACCGTTATGTGAACAAAACTATAATACTCTCTTTAGCAACATTGTTGCGAGAGTATAATAAAGAAAGATTTTAAGAGCTAACATTTATTGAATGAATAAATACGCATTGTTTGTTAAATTTCGTTTTTCATTTTTACGATTTTTCTTAATTAAAAAAAAACTGAACGTTATATGGAATTGCGACAAAGTTTTTTATCTTTGGCATTAAATTATCTTCTAATGAAACTAAAAAACCTAAGAAAGGTTGAGTTTGAACATATATTTAAGTAAATTTTTTTTAAGACCAAAATCGGTTTTTTTGGTAATTTTAAAAAACTACTTTTTTTTTGAAATTTTCTGTTTGATTTGAACATAAGTTATTAAATAATATTAAACTCTTTGACTTTTTTGTTTCGGGTAGAAATCTCGACCTGCATCCTGCCCGCCGTCTGGCATATACATATATGCACATGCGAGAAGCATGTGACAATTGCTTCCCAAAGGCAAAATGTAACAAATTTCGTATAAAATAAATTTGCGGATGATGCTTAATTATATAACTATTAACCCTAGAAACTCCGATTTAATCAATTACTTATTTCCCTCCAAAAAACCTTCAAAAAATCATTTTTTTAGGCCTCTAAAGCAGGCTCCCCCCCCATAAACATACGCTCAATAACTAAGACATTTCTTGTTTTATTCTTATGTTTTCTCCTATAGAAATAAAGGTAAATTAATTCGTAACAATAAAATAACTTGATTCCTTACATTTCAAATCTGTGTGCGACTATCTTCTTGATTTGTTTCTGACAGCAAAACCGATAAATTTGGTTTCTGTGACACCCAAAACCGATACAAATTCTGTTTCGGAAATCAAGCCAATAATATCTGAATTCATGACACCTACTGGTGTTTTTGATCGGTTTAAATTCTGACTCCGACAACTATCAGATTCCACAACACCGCTGATAGTAACTAATTTTACAATTTCCAATTTCATTCTATAGTGACTTTTCTTTAGATTTTTTGTTCTTATTACCTTATTATTTTTCCAGACTCCTGTTGTTTGTGTATCCTTTGTGTTATCCACCGCCGCTTCCTCACTCCCAACGAAGCGATTGTATTGAAATAGGCGTCCCATATTCCGCATGGTTGCCGTTTTTATAATTTGTAAGCGCTTTTTAGCAAAACGAATTATTTCTATTTTTTCACCAAAATTTTGGAATTTTTTACAAATTACTGTATTTGCACGAATTCCTTTATTCCAATTTAACTAAATTTTTTCAATTTTCCAATTTTTAAATATCTTTGCACACTATGCCTTATATTCACAGGTGTTTCAACACACGTATATAACTGCACTTTTGCATGATTTCGTAAGCAAATCACCACACTCACATACAAACACATAAAATCTATTGCAGGTATGCGTTGTCAATATTTTTAGTACCATTCAACAATGCTTACGTTTTACTGCCCGAATTTCTGCTTCGTTTTGCGTTTTTCGACTTTCGTATTTCGTAAAATTTCCAATCGTCACGTGACGCGCCACTGAAATTTCCAACAAGCGATCACCGCAACGTGCACACCAGCAATGATTCAATGAGACGGGCGCACTTTGTTGTAAGTTGTTGATGTTGATGCCGCCGCTGTCAAGTCAATGGAGTCAGCGGAGATGGTGGCGCTGGCGCTGGCGGTGGTGGTGGTGGTGCGGCTGCCATAGTGAGTAAATGACGTTGTTTTGAGTGCTGATGATACACCACCGCGCTGCTGTTGTTGCTGTTGCGATTGCTGATAATTAAGTTCTACTCCTGTTGCAACTCAAAGCAGAATAGTCAAAAAGCGATGAAATAAAAAAGACGAAGAAAAAATGAGCAGAAGAAAAAAGAAAAACACTCGAACGACTCGGGGTTAGCCAGCGCTGCCGTGCAACGTTCATTGGAACCGCATACAAATTGAGAGAATTTATTCATTCAGAGTCAATATGAAGACTGCCAGCACACATATATACTCACATACACACTCACACGCAAACAGGGCACTGCAGGGGCGCGCTGCCAGCGTAAGGCAACAGTTTTCAATAGTTGATGCATGAGTGGTGTGTGTGTGTGTGTGTGGGTACTACTGCCATTTCCGACTGCTGTCAGTTGCTGGCCGAGTCAATAAACAACGCAACTGTGGAAAATATAAAAGTTGCCCTGGAATTGCGAAAAAAGTGCAAAATCTCCTGGTATAGTGGTAGAGTAGTAGTGCCGGAAAGCAAGCGCGACCAAATGCAACACACTCGCAACGTTGACTAAAAACTGTAAAAATATCTGCATATATGCCAGAGTTTTGCTTTTGCTTGCAACTATATGGCGTTGCACACACACTTATACATGCCACATGTGTCATATAAGCATGGGCCTCTGTGCTGCACCGGAAAACCACTCAATCGCAGTGAGTGGTGCGGCGTAAAGAGTTTGGGTAAACCAAATGAAAACTAACAGTTACTCACAACTCGACCGAATTGGCACTCCAGAAACGGTGTGGCAGCGGTCAGTGGCTGCAACAGCCATACAAATAAGCGTAGTGCTCGCAAAAATCTACGTTGATGGTGGACTATACTACTCCGAATGCACACACACGGGCACATAAACAACATAGCTGCAACAGCTGACCAAAGCAGACCGTAAAAATAGTGCGCCTGCCGTCTGTCGCCCTTTCAAACGCAACTTCTCTGCCGTCTACGCCTATTGTCTGCCGACCGTTCGTCATGTTTTGGCCGTCTGTCCGCAATTTGCTTCATTTGCACCCTCATTTCCTTACTCACGGCAATTCAGTAGACTTTTGTTACAGTAGTATTTCACTCGTCAGTTTGTGACGGCGCGTCCGAACTGTGCTACTTCACTCCAATGCACTTCATTCCACTCCACGACGCAGCGACCATGTACAGGGTGCTAACTGGCCGGCCTCTCGACATTTTTAATTTTTCGGCTTTCCATTCTTCATTTCTTCTTTTATTTTTAGCAACTTTTTGTTTGCCGCTCAATACTACGCTCTGCCTTCACTCCTCAGCCGGCGCTCACTCAACGTGCAACCAGCGTTGTATGAGTTTACGTGTGGCCGCAGAGTGCAGAGCGGAGTGAAGTTGCATGGCGTGCCGTACTTTTAAGTAGTGTATTATTGTTGTAGGTAACAATGTGTGTGTGTGTGTGACTTTGTGTGGCAACATTTTCAATGCTCGTTGCTGCGCAAAGCAATACAAGTACAAATGCATGAATGAATCAGTTGAGTTTTGTTTCTTTTTTGACTCTTTTTGTCTTTGTGCAACTTCATTATCTTTCTTCATCATCGTCTTCGTCATCCCCGGTAATTATAATGGTCTTAAAGTGAGCTCAGCGCCGACTGTTACCTTTTGCCAATTCAACTATTGGATTTTCATTCCGCTCAGCTCAGCTCAGCGCCTCATCCATATACACATCAGCTCTGTCTTTATGTCGCTTTCAATCCCCTCGCGATATGCTCATTGCGTCATCAGATTGCATTGCTTATATTATTTTATGTTTAATTATGAAATTCACTTGACTTGTGCCACTTACTACCTTCGTATAAGCAAGTTAATGCAATTTAGCTTCGTATATACCGTTATATTTATTTTAATTAAATATTTCATCGCGCGCTCTCACTCACTGTACAGCAAAAAATAGTGTAGTGTCCTGATTTTTGATTTTATGGCTCATTAGTGTTGTGGTGTTGGCCTTTTGGGTCATTCGCTGGTGTGTATGTTTGTCCATATGAGGATGTGTGCGTTAGCATTGATGTGTTTGTGTGAAAGACACTTTATACATGTATATTCCATTCGGTCTTATTAGTAGCAGGTTACATTAATTTAAACAACATATAAGCATATACTGTAAGAACATATGTATATACTATATATGTATGTATTTAGTATAAGGATATAAGTATAAACCTTTCGGCCATTATGTGCTAAAATAGGTTACGATTGGATTAGTTGCTGTAGTCAAAGCTTACATATATGAAAATTTTCAATATTTTACTTGAGGCTTTCCAACAAATTACAACAACATGCATATTTCAATTACCATGCTGCTAAAGGCAGCAGAAAGTTTCGGCAAAGGGAAGATAATGTCGTTTCAACAAATAAAGGCTCAAGGGAAAGACACACCACTGGCCCCTATTCTAAGGGACGGCGTTACAAGGAGGGTTAGCTTTACAAAGAAGTTCAGAGTTGCTCTCAGCAGTAAGTAAGCAGTAAGTAAGAGTGGAATGATTCTACTACTACTACTGAGGGGCAGCACTATCCAGTGATGGTTCGAAAACACCTAAATGCATTGGAGCAGGCATTGCGTGACCGCATGTCACACCATCAAAACCAAGTCCCTGTACAGAAATCTATCTCCACCGTAGCTATCGCAACCAGCGTATCGCTATACTTTGCGATAGTCAACCGGTACTGGAGGTGATCTCAGCGTAAGAGGTTGAATGGTTTTTAGTGAAGGAGTGTATAGGAACCGGGTACGCCTAATCTAAGAGCCGGGACAGAAAGTGGTAGCCGGCAATGAGCTGAGCCGATGAACCAGCCGGCTCTGCGCCAGGCTGATGGGGCCACAACCATGTATATACGCACGGAGGAGTGCGTGGAGAGAGAACTGCATTGGCAGTAGGCAGCTGGAATGCGCCATGCCAAGCTACTTCTAGGAGTGCACAACTCCCCCGAGACAAATTTTGCCTCCTTGTCGCGCTCTATGCAGTCCAACATGAGCATAGTCTATTGCCCAAATTTAAGGCCCTACTTTCCATCAACGTAGACAGGAATCACATCATCTTAGCCGCGCTCAGCAGGCTTTAGGAATTGTTCAGGATATTGGACCTATGTGACCATATGTGATATAGGGACGGTAAAATAGACCATAGGTCGCACTGCAAATCCTCAATTTTAGTATCCATCTATCTATCCATATTTGTACTACTTTAAAGTTCGTCCGGAAAGTAATAGAACTGATTTTCTTCCACCGCAACTGTACTTCGGAGCGTTCGTGCACCGACTGGATTCGGTAGAGGGCGTTCCTTGATAACGAACGAGTGGTTGATCAGTTGTCTCCCAGCCACCTGGAGAGTCGGCATAAACATCTTCGCGACGTGTTTCTGTGAGTGGCGCAAGCCGAAAATGCAGCGTTCGCAAGAGCAGAGGTAAATCTGCGACAGAGACGTTTGATATGATAAAAAGGCTTACCTATATGTTACTATAGCAAGAAGGCCTTTTTGGAGGGCCGGGAAGAGGTCGTTGATGAATGAGCAAGTCCAAAGTAAAAACGATGTTCATTGACAAACCGTCTACGCCAAATTTTACGTGAAAATCCTGAAGAAATTCAAACGATGGATCAATCCGGTCCGTCAAGACATCGCAGCCGATGGGAAGATCTTACCCAAGCAAGGCCGGCATTACAAAGCTTCCCCAGCCGCTCTACAGCCCAGGTGTGGCCCTCCCGAACTTTTGTTTAGCTTCCTTACCTGAAAAGACCGATGAAAGGCATGCAATTTGAGACGACAGAGGGAAACCCTGTACAATTGACTTTTTATCGAAAATCCTTTCCTGACAATGGCATGTCTGGGCGCATTTTCAATATAGATAAATTTGCATAGGACAATACACGGCCATAAAAGATATAGTTAATCCAAAAATTTTGCTAAAAAAGAAGCAATATTTCTTTTAACTTTCTTACACTTATGAATACCTTTTACTATAGACTCTTGCCGCAGTAATTTCTCGAACCTTAATTAACACCCTGGCGTATATTCACAAATAAGGACAAATACATCTGACAGATTTACTTAAATCAGTTGTAAATCAAGAAAGCTCATTCGCGCTCAATCACGCAATGACTTTTTGTTCAGCAACACACCCTGCAATCTTAATTTCCTTAATGACCTCTCATTTGCACTAATTCACCGGCGTAACACACCCACCACCACATCATTACAAACACATATCGTACATCATAAACAAGCGGACGTGAAAGGCTCAAGCAGGATAAAAATTATATGGGATTAATGCTTGCAAGCCTTGCCAGGATTTTTGTTTTGTTTACAAATAAATCAGGCATATGAATGCCTAGTGACTGGTGAGTGTGGGTGGCCTTGATGACGTACAAGCAAAGCTGAGGGGTTGATAGACATTTCTGGCGATACTAGAAAAAGCGAAATATATTTTTAACAATGTTCGCTCGTATGCCAATGTGTTCAATGCACTTGACGTTTAATCAAACCAATTTCCTGAAGGACTTTCTATATGTCATTCAAAATTTTAGACACAAAGCAAATGTGGAGGAGGGAGAGTGACTTTAGCCACCTTGTTGTTACATTCTCTGCTATAAATTGACTCATACAATATTGGAATTAACACCCAGTATATCGGATTTACTATCAAGTTTTGAATAATATTGTTAACCATGTGATTCTGCGTAACAAAATGCCAAGACTCTTATCAAGACTTTTTCGTCTAAGAAAACCTAACCGGTTTCTCTCCGGTTTTTCTATCTGTGTAAACTCGAGCTCGGCCCTCAGTTTCAGAGATATTGATCTGTAAATTCGCATACGGACTTTTCTCTTG